AAAAGCCAGGTTTTATCAGGTGCCTTCACCTTTCGCTCCTAACTTGATAAAAGAATCGGGATTTCCGTGATGCCGGAGGGCTGCCCTTCTGCGCCCTGGGTCGGGGCTAGCGGGAAGGGCCTTTGTCCCGCGCAGCTCCGCTCGCGCAGGTGCCTGTGGCGGGAGCACCGTGGGAAGCGGGACAGGGAGAGCCAAGGCCTTGAACCGGGCTCAGACCTACGCAGGGCGCACGGGGCRCGCGCCTAGCCTGGGCTTGCCCAATCTCCAGTGAACTCTTTCAGTCCTGCTGGCGATACAGAAAGAAAACAACTGCGGACTGAAGGTCGCAAGGTCTTCAGGAAGCATTTTTTTCCTATCTCCATGTGAAATGATTAAGGAAGTGTGTGTGKGGGGGGTTGTTTCTGATTTGTTTTGTTTTGTTTTTCTTACATGGTGGCCTCTTTGCCTGTGAAACCGGCAACCAGGGCAGAGGGAACAGGCCTAAGGAGCAACCTCTTCATTCCGTCGTGTCTCTAGGAGAGCGTTCCCGTGCGGAGGACTGGGCAGAGGGCAGTGCCTGAAGTTCCTGCACCCACGTCAGCCTGAATCGGCTGCTGCAGGTCAGGGCAGGCCGGGCCCGGGCCGGTGCCCCCTCGCAGGGCTCGCAGCCTCGGGGCAGCGCCACGCAGCCCGGAGGAGGGCAGCCGAGGAGGGCGCCCAGGCTCCGGGGCAGACCYGCAGAGCCCGGGGTGCCGCTGTGTCCGCGGGCTGCTCTCCGTCTGCGAACAAGCTGTAGAGATCCCAGAGCCTCGTGGCTGCGCTCAGTTTGACACACTCTTCTGGCAAGGGGTTGCAGCCCTCACTGAGCTCAGGGCTGCCCTGGGGAAACTGCTAAGGGCACACAAGCATTCGCAGCCTACGTAGGATATGTATTCTTCAGACTATAATACAACTTAGGTTTGCTAGGCTTTAAATGAACTACCAGGGGCTGGCAGCAAAACAGATGCAAAGTCATGTCAGTCACATTGTGCCAACTTGCATCCTCACATACTTTTAAAAATACCTTTCCTAGGAAGGAGGCTGAGATAATTCCGGTGAAAGTCTGCCATAAAACCATGGTTTATGATGGTAACTATTCACTGAGCTAAACTAATATGCTCTGGGGGCRCAAATTTTACTTTTAGTTGTAAGCAGTAAAGGAAGAAAAGGCTCCTTCCCCCAGGGATAAATTGAATAAAAAATATTTTAAAAAAGAGCATGGGATGGGGTGCAAAAATAAAAACAAAGGATGACTGCAAGCAGTTTGCTAGGAGTGGAATATACTTTTTAGTGTACTGGAGCCAAACTTGTCTTGTGGAAAACCCTCAGCAGGCTTCAGGGTGAGCCCCGGGTAGACATAATTATGTCAAACTTCTTTCTGCTCTGAACACTACTGCTAGAACCATGAAAGATGCAGTATGATGTAGAAAAACAAATRCAAGGGCCAGCTCTGCATTACCTACAAGAGATTATATCCTCCAGTCCTTATCACTTGAAGGACTGATTGCAAAACAGCCCACCAGAACACCACACTTACTGAAATGAGAACATTATAGATCTTGTGTTATCCTCGCTATAAATTTATTATTTTTACAACTGAAAATATAAATACAAGAACATTAAATAAAWTTACAAGAAACAGTGCAAAGGCAATTAGCCAAAAAGTTAAAGCATTCACAGAAAGGCACTCCAACTACTTCCATTCCAGTACTGCCTTTTTAATGCGTAGCTAAAACCTTGGGGATGAACACAGCAAATACTTGAAATTCTCACTTTAAAAGCATCATCAGAGTAGTCTCAGACACGGATGACCAAAGGAACCATCCATCACATTCAAACCACAGGGGGCTTTGAGTGCTTCCAAGGTTCAGTTGCTGAACGAGGCAGAGCCCCGGCTCCCAGGCATTTCACTGATGCTTCCCGATGAGAACAGGGTTTCCAGGGCTCCCTGCTGAGTCCTCTGGGAAAGCCAAGTACTTGCTACCATCCAGCCTGTGTCTGCCTCAAATAATCCCTCAAACAATCCCCTTTGCAGGCTTTGGCACGCTGCAGTGTGATGCTGGCTTGTTCTAGCTCTGGCTCCCACACGTAAGAGCCGGGAGTGTTCAGTCTTTGCCCAAGAACACARGGAGAAAAAACGTGTCGCGAGCTTCCCGTGTGGGTCAGGGCCGTGCGGGACCAGGGCTCCCTCATATCCCAAAGCTCATTTCTATTCAGGAATTATCTTCACAATGTCCGATGGGCTCTACCTGCTTTCAGCTGTTGTGCACGAAGAGCTAAATTTTGGTTGGCCAAAGTACAAGCAGAAGTATTCAGTAATGCTCATGAGCTGCCCCTTTAGGAAAAGCAACCATACAACCAACCCCAAAATTTCCTTGGCTACTAGCTATAGCAGCTAGCCTTTATTTCCTGTAATTTATTCTCTTTAAAAAATAACACTACTCTAGCTGATCACTGCTGATGAGAAGCAGCGGTGTGTTTAATCTCYGTAACAACCACTCAGGATAAAATACTGACCTTGCTGAAATCAACGTCAAAAATTTCCATTGACTAAGTCAAGCTACTGTCATAACTGAGGTTATCTTATAACCTAATGTCTACTCTATTCATCACCCCCTCACTCCTRGCACTCTGCTTTGATGATACCCAGCTTCCATCTTTCCACATTTCAGTAAGAGGCCACTCAAGTTCAAGACTGACCATGTTCATACTTACAGTTCTGTATCTTGTGAACATTTTTAAACCGCTGTCAGTGATTTCACTTACTGAACAAATTAGCTTCTGTATCAATGTTAATTAATCTCAATTAAAGGCACCTGCAAACTACAATAAAAGTTAAAACAAAATACCAATTACTTTTCTATACACGGGAATATTTAAATTTATATTACAAGAAATAAATATAAAAGTACCATTAAGATGCTTAAAGGTATGTATCTTTTTGCTTATATACAGCACTATAGAATCTGTAACTATAACCTATAAAAAGTTGAAGGAGACAGTGTAGCTAACACTTTTAAAGATAACATCATTTGTATGCATAGGTTGTAATTTCCTACATTTATACAATACTACTATATACTGTATCCAGATAAAATAACTCAGTTGTACTGAAAAAATCTAAACAAAACTTTCCTTTAAATGTAAAAAAAAAACTACCCCCAAAACCCTTCAATGAAGAATCAAAACAGAAATGCACCAGCTGTAATTCAACATCTGAAGTACTTTGTTAAATAGTAGCTTCCTTTTTTAATTCTTTCTTCTTCTGTCTTTTTTTTCTTTTCTTTGCTATTGTCCTTGTCCATCCATTACATGGCTGCCTTGAAGTTCCAGTACCGTCTATTAAATAAAATCAATTTCTGTTTTTCTCACATTATGTAAAGCTGTTAAAAGTAAATCTGTACTTCCTTGTAGAACAACGTATTGTAGAACAACACACTCTTTAAAAGGAAATCACATTTTCTCAATAAAAGTTAGGCTTCCCCTCTTTGAAGTCCTTCTGAGTGAGATTCGGCTTTTTTGGCTGCCTGTATCATCCTTTTCTTGAAGTGCAGCTTGTTTGCCTGCGAAGTCATGGAGACACACATCACCATTCTGGACAATGAAAGAAACACCATTCCTCTCACTGGAAAGATGGCCTGTGGAAACAAAAACGCAGCCCCTATCAGAAAGTTCACCACCAAGTCCTACATGCTTTTGCAGTCAGTGTATGCAGTACACACTCCCTAGTTTTATTCCTGTAACCATTTCAGAATGGATTTCTCTGTACATGGCTTTTCTGTAGGCAATCAGTAAGAGATCTGGGAGATAACAGCACATGCACACATGGTAAGATCGCATCTTTTGTTTTTAACAGCGAAGGTCGTATTTCTCTGAATTTGAGAGACTCCGACATGGCATAAATCTTATTACTTAASTTGCCAAATACTTGACTTACAAGCTTTGCATTAAAGTTAAGTTAAAAGCATTTTCAGGTTTGCCTTGCATCTGAAACGTGCTGGAGAACATTTTCTTCCTTTGAAATGCACCAAACTTGCAGCATTTATTCCTGGATGAYAGTTAGAGCATGCCCTAAATCCAGTGGTTTTTGGATCAGACATCTTCCCAATTTTGGTGATTCTACAGTGCACACAGGTAATACCAGTACTGACCACAGGCTGAAATGGRATACCAGCTCCCAAAATACTTAAATTACTCACTGGAGTCTCATTATCTCCATGCATCACATTCTAAATATCATTCTTGAGAGTATACCCTTTTTTATTGTTAATATTTGTGCAAATGCTTGTAAGTGCATTTCTTTTTCCTTTTGTAAAGCAGGTCATTTTAAAAGATCTGCCAGAATACCAATACAAAATTTAAAAATCTAATACCCATGTCTTTTAAGAGTTCTGCTACACAGTACATTCAGAACTGATTTTCAGAGTTCATTAATACTTTAAAAAAATGAAGAAAGAAAAACAGAATATACATAATTAAACATCTTTCTGTGCATTTTATTAGGAAACCACGAGAACTGTGCTAATAAACAAGTCTGCCTTCTAGAGCTGCGTGGCAGTCACTTGCAAGGAGCACCATGACAGGGAAACAACAACCAGAACTAAGATTATTGCAGAAAGGGATTCATTTTGTTAAACTCTACTGAGAAATGAGTTCACAAACACAGATGCAGGACAGTTATTTATACTAGAAAAGCATTTAGAAAAAAAAAAAGCCATAAACACAATCAGCGTCGCCTAATGTCAGAATTACTGGAGAGCCGGTAGAAACTGTTCACAGGTTATGCTTCCAGGAAGACCAAAATACTGGCAGGAAAGTTGTGCGCAGTGAAAAAGACATTTCTATAAGGACAGAAAGCTGAGCCTTCCTGTAGTAAATCTGATTTAGTCCATTAAATATCTGGGGCATCCTGCAGCAGAATCCTGCTAGGGGTCTGCCCTCCCTTTTACCCTCTCCCATGAATTCAGCCTTCTGAGCAACCCCTCCAAGAGAGACAAAGCTCCATTATAGGATCATCTTTAACTATTTCTTTTGAGGTTACTAGAAGTGGAGTCTTGGGTGACCTCCCTCCTCTTCGCTTTAACTCTCCTGCARAAAGGCTTCTGCAGAGACTGAGTTTGACTTCTCTCTTTTTGCAGAGTCCTCAAGCACACAGGTTTAGAGATCAGTCTACTCAACCAGTTCCTCTAGCTCTTTATGCCTCACTTTAGGCAGACTGGACACCTTGCCACAGTTTTCTTACTGATTCAAGCAGATGACAGTGCACGAGCTACATCAAAACCTCATTTGCAAGCTTTGCTTTGGAGGGAGACCCAACATTTTTTAAATAAGAAATGTGAATACATGTGTCTAGCTGACAAACATTACTGTCATTTTGAAAATACAATGTGTATGACTAAACCTGAGTATCTCAGAATGAGAGTGTAAGAGAGTGAGTTTGCAGAGATGTCTGTCAAAAAGAGTCACAACCCCATGCTAAACTATTGAGTTGCCTCTGGACTTGCAAAAAGGAAGCAACACCTCCAGAGTATGCAAAAAACTTTTAAATAYGAAGTTAAAGGTAAAAGGCCATCAAGCATTAAAACATGAACAAATACAAACAGGTAAGATAAGCAGAAGAGAGTTTTGTTAATCAATTCAAATCATGTCCTTGCTGATGCTGTAATTATACATTTGTAAAGGCTTCAGCCTCTGCCTGATTGCATTTGATTGATTTTAGAAGAGATGTTCAAAATAGCTAAGCCCTACTGCTAGGGCAGGACCTGAAGAGAGTTAAGACTATTCTGGCACTAATTGAGAAAGGTTAATTCTGTTCCTCAAGGTTGGGATCTGCAGGTTCAGCCACGTGATACCCAATGGAAGCTTCCCGAACATGAAAACCTGTCAGAGAAGAACAGAAAACAAGGAGCTTTAGTATGTTATGAAATGATCGAGATATACAATCATTAGACAAGCAAAGCCACCGGCTGTCCAAAACTTACCATGGCAAGTCATTCAATTCTGTCTGGAAAGGCATTTCCATGGAATCAGTGAAGCCAAAGCCCCAAGTATTTACAGCTTATGTCATACACTTATGACATAGGTCTCATTTACAAGAGTACTTTCTTTTGGCAGCACACTTTTTTATTGTAAAATATTGTAAAATAACACAATATTGCAGTGTTATTTTGGTTTCCTAGCTGTTTTGAGAACACAGACAGACTTTAGATCAGATACAATAAATCAGAAGGTCCTGCGTTCTTACCGAGCACCAGCCTGACCTATTTAACCACATAGGTATCTTTGGGGGCATTTGTCCAACTTTTCACTGATACAACTGCCCCGTGTTTGGGAGATAAGTATAAGGAATTGTCTTCAAGAGCTTTCCCAGGAGAAATCTACCTGAGCATCTGCACAGACTTGTTCCTCAAAGTCTTAAAGACCTGGAAGCTCATTATAAAGGAAGAGCTCTTGGTCAAACAAATTATGCTGGTCTGTATCACACAGTCCTTTTGATATGAATGGATGATGTGGTATAGGGTTCACAGCCTTCACTATATGCAATAAAATACAAATGGAGAAGAGGTGAGTTATCATGAAGACCTTGATGCATATGGCAGCACTGCAAGTTCTGTCAGATGCACGTGTCTGGGAAGCTGTTGGCTCAACACATACACAGACCCTCACACTGGAATGACCTCCTCACTTKGAAAAACCATGGATTTTTATAGTCTGGTATTAGACAGATCAGGAACATGTGACACAATGTTAGGACTGGCCAACTATTTAAATGATCAGTTTTGCATCCCGTTCCAAAGTACTACCAAAATCAGCAGCAACTTGTTCTGGAAAGCCACGATGGGACCATCCACTCAATTGCTGCAAAATGTAAGTTCAATAAAACATTTGTGCAGCTTTTCTTTCTGTTAAGCAAAGGAGTCTAAATGCTTTTGTAACTAGGATGGTGTAACAGTATAAGCATGGCAAACGCAGGGAGAAGAGAGATCTTTTATTAGAATAATTAATTCTGTATCATTATTCTGAATAATTAATAGTTGTAACTATGTAACAATAAATATTASAGTAACTAATGCTGTAAAGTAGACGTGCAGGATTTTGTTCCTGAAAATGTATCTCTTCAAAAGGTATTAATTCCCTCTATAAATATTGCCTTGGTTTGTAACAGTAAGAATTATTGTTTTTTTTCTCTGTAAATAATTTGTTACATGCAGAGTATGATAATTCCATCGTATGCACGTGGTATGCAAAACAAAGGAGGTTTTATAAGGGCATGACAGAAAAAAGGAACTAATTTTACAAGCTCAATTAATTTATAAAGCTATTCAGGGCATGTCCAAATGCCGTTAAAGGAACATTTCTTGAAGTCAGGAGAATTTTCTACATTATGCAGCTCACACATCCAAATGCAGAACAGTACATAAAGAAGCAGCACACAGGAATTCCATAGTTTTTACTTTGTATATCTTAGTGATCATTGTGTTTTCCAGTTGACTATCTGCTYCTTCTAACAGAATGTGCCAGGAAGTAAGGACAACACATCCATTATGTTCTTGTTCTACAACTTTATACTAAATAATGTGGCTGGTAGCCTGACTTCTTACCCTCAGTTCTTGATTAAATGGGAGAAATAAATTAGGCACATTGGGCTAATGTCCAGTAAGGCTTGCTCAGCTTAGGCTTTTCTACATTACAGAATTACTTTTTTCATTGGAAAAGAAAAAAGTGTCTGTACCAAGAGCTCAAATCAGTAGCAGTAACCATGCTTCGCTGTAGATTACATCTGCTACAAATATTTCACTTTTTAATGAGTATATTCAGGGAAGATTCCTATCTATAAATTTCCCAGTAGAGGGATCACAGTCACAGTGCTCCATGCATTCATTCTCAGGAACCAAGCAGAGGGCAACAGTTCAGAGAGGAGAGTACTTTGTTAGAGGGGAAAGAGGGAAGAGTTTTACTTTTCAAAAGTTGTTTCCTGCAACATAAAGATATATTTCTGTTAGGAAAAAGTATTCATAAAGGTATTCAAGAGAAAAGAGATATAGAGCAGTTCAGCTTTAATGCTTACTTTGCGGTGAGCAGCAACGCAGCCCTCAGCAGTGGCCTCTTCACTAGGAGTCTCTTAGTGAACCTCTTCACTTGTAGTCGTCATTTTCTCTTCTTCTCTCCTCATTAAGAAGCTTCCATGCGTGTTTTCCATTTATTTTAGCAGAATTTCTTCCTCACATTACGTTCTACATATTTTCTTTCATACTTTTAAATGATTTTCACTGTTTGTCTTACCTTTCTTTCTTCTTCAATGTTTATTTTAATAAGGTTTAAAACATCAACTATTTTAAAATATGCTTAAAGTTTATAGCTATATTCTTAGATGACAAGAAAGGTGTTAACAGCAGCTTTTGATCAGTAATTGCTCTAATCATGAATGCTACCTACAATTCAATGGATAAATCAGCAGTTCATACAGAGTAGAAGAAATGGTTATTTCAAAACTTTTGCATAGCACTAAAATGCATGTGTGGCATTATTTGTGATGATATCCTGAATATTTTGATCCTCTATTTATGAATAATATTTGGTCAGTAATTCACTTTACATTAGCATAACAAAGCATAAAGCCGTTGTTTTAAAAGAGAAGGAAAATAGTTTGAGAAATACTATTTTGCATTATACATACCATTGCCATTTGCATGCACTGAATAATCATTGTTCATTAGCAGTGTTGTAGAATTAGTGGAGTTACTGTTTGATTGTAAGGAATTGGAAGAACTGGATACTCCTTGATTTACAGTCTGCTTCTTTAAACCATTAGTAGCAGTTCTACTCCAGTCTACGGTAGATACATGTTACAGAAAGTAGTGCAACCCATAAAAGCAAAATATAAAAATATAGCTAATAATGCAAATGAAATAAAATAACAGCAAGGGTTTCCCAATTCTCCCCACAGGACTACAGAGTAATATTCAGTCAGAATAATATTCTCTTAAGAATTTCATGATTGTTGAGGGCTAAAATTATTTATACCTATTTTCCTTTTTCATCAAGCAAGCAGTCATGGTTTATGACTGCAGACCAAAGATTGGCAGCAACTAAAGTACAGCCAACCCTCTGAATTAAAGTGTACGAAAAAATACATTGCTTTATAATAAGTCAAGTACTRAATAAAACAATACCACAAACCCTCTTCCAGGCTTTTTTGTTGTTGTTGTTGAAACTATTCTTCATCTTGCTTTTGTTGAAGTCACTGACCAAACTAAACGTGACTCAGGAGACCTGGCATATCTTACGTCTCCTAATCACAATCTCTGGTTTTCTGCAAAGCCGTACTGACAGACCCAGGGAGAGGGCTGCTGCAGTTAACAGCTTAATGCAACAGCATGTAAGAACTGAATAAGCTGCAGCCTTTAAAGAGGATTGGTTTAGAGGYTTATTACATCTACAGTAAAAAAACAGGCCTGGAACTACAGCAATATGTTTTACTGGATATTAATAAAAATAMGCATACAAAATGCTAGGGACTTAACACTGAGCCCAAACATTCAGAAGTAAAAAAAGGGTAGGAAAAAAAAGTTTTCATAATTACCAGAGTTCTCAGCTAGTCTGAATTTYCCACAACAAAGATATCTTCTCCACTGTTTACGAACATTTTCCTTTGTTACACAATAGAAGATAAAAATGAAGAACCCTGCAAAGTGACAAATAACAGATATGTTCCAAAATAGGTTTCTGCTTCATCTTAATATATATGTATAATTTGCATATGATATATATTAATACACACATGAATACATTTCTTTTTCTTTTGTTTGTTGTTTTTGAGTTGTAATCGAAACCAATGACACCTTTCTTCACTGAAAGTYCACAGTTCTGAACACTTAAGAATATTTTCCCCTTGTGCTAACATGATAGGTATCATACATACAAATGGAAGGAAAATAAATGCAATCAAAATCCACAGATTTTCATACTCTGAAATAAAAAAGGAAAAAAAATCTGTGGATCCTGAGCATTACTGAAGTCTTTGGTAGACAAGTCAAACTAATGTCGACAGAGAGTACAGCAATACACTGTCAGGCTACAGTCAGCTGTCAGCTCTCAGCACACCTTGTAACACTTCAGTGTGCCCTGAGAAGTGATTCCTTAGATTTACAATGAAATAAAATAAAAATAAAAAACATATAAAATAAAATAAAARTTTAAATGTTCAGGTTGGCAAAGACAGATTTACATTATGCTTGCACTGCTTTTAAAACCATTTCAGCCTATATGTGTTTTTGAATATCACACTGTAAGAGATAATTTACATCTTTACATTACTTATTATGTTTCTTAACTTTGGCTTTCAGGACAAATTTTTAAAGGTAATTAAGTGTTACTTTATTCAAAGGCTTTTGTTCCATTTTCAAATATTATTTTGGAACACTGGCATATAGTTAATTGGGTCAATACTATTTATTTGCCTTTATTACTTTTAGCATCAGCTTTTACCCAGTATTAAATTTGAGTAAGGGCAGAACTTAAGGTCACATAACAGATTACCCTGCAGCCACATGGAATCTACAGTCTCGTGTTAGGTCCACACGATCCTTTGGAAGGCCTGGGAGGCYATGGGTCCAACCCCTCAAGCAGTCAAGTAGTAAGATCCGTAAAATCAGCGTATCCAATAGGAGAGAGGCATATACACTGAATTGCCATTTTAATGGCTCTCCTCTCTGGAAAACCAGCCAGCCGGTCATTGAAGTAGCTGTGCCATTTAAGTGCCGTTTAAGCAGTACGGCAGTCAGCAGTAGGGCAGGTCAGCAGCAYGAAGGGCTCTGCAGGTGACAAGGTCTATGCGTGTGGGGCACTGCTCTTATTTAGCTGCCTTTGGCACTCTGGAGCACTGTGCCTCTGCAGTTGTGAAGCCCAAGCTTGGTGCTACTTGGTTACTTCAGTACTAAATATCCTTCTCAGCTCACTTGGAGATGCTCCAGCTTTGCCTTTCGCAACAGCCCTTCGCTCAATGTCTGACCTCACGTCTAGGAGCAAGAAGCTGGGAAATAACATGGTTTTCACTACATGAACGTAAACCCTTACAGCAACTGAGGATTTAAAATTAATCCATTGACTAGGGAAAGTCTCTCACTTCCAGTGGTGTCTGGTGTACATACATTTATAAAACTATAGTATTTATAGATATAAATAGTATACTACTTTCCTGCCATATATTGTATATCATTACAATAGTGTTATATTATATATRGTATATATATATATGTATATATATATGTATTATATCTTATATTCTGCACATATTATTATATTATTTATGATCTGAGGAAAGCAGTATCATCTCTAACTTAATTAACAGTAAACAATGTATCAAAGTTACGTATTTGTTGTTGAATAAACTTCCTTTTTTTAAATTCTTTATTCATTATATTATACACAACAGGCTAACACATGAAGTATAAACTTACCTTGCAGAGTGTTGAAAATGGTGAAGAGGTATGTAAATACCTCATTTACCGTAAAGAAAGCAAATCCCCAAGTAATTCCCAACAAAAATGTGAGACCAGCAACACTCCTGAGGTCCTGAATACTCGTTTTCCTCTGAGTGCCAAGCTGTTTTTTCTTTTTGATGCGACAGAGCTGGATCAGCACAACAATGAACATGCTGATATTGATCAGGAATATTACGCAGAAGTATCCCACAGCAGTAATATAGAAGGCTATTCTGCTTTTAATCCAGCAGCTAGAACACAAGAACAAAGTCTGTCAGCATTTATCACAGAAATCAAGTGACTATGAGATAAAGCTGTATTTTGTTATAAATGTAAACAATTTTTACCCTCTTCAGTAAAGCGGTTGGGTTTTTTTTGGCCAAAGAGTAGGAATAGTCTCATTGACAGTTATCAATGGGCATGTGACATACTGCACAACTACACCATTTCAAAACTTTCTCACTGCTTTCTTCTCTCCACCAGTTTTATTTCAAAGAAAAGCAATTTGATAGGACTCAGGAGAAGGAAAAAAGAAAAAAAAAAAAAAAAGAGCTATCCTTTTACTTACAATTCATCTGGTCTGTTGTTTGAAAATGTTGCAGTTGATATAAGCCCATAATTTTCTGGCGACACTGCCAACACAATGGCCACAATTACTGCTGGTACCCCTAAAAAATTGTGAGCAAATACACAGGTGAAAATCATGACACAATGAGGGTAATAAGATGACTTGAAACTACTGTATTTTTCTGTGAAATTTACAGCCTGTCTATTATATTCTTTTGATTATTGGCTGTCCAAATAGATCTAAAAACTGGGGCATTCAAGCAGTCCTTCTACTCACAAAGAAACAAATGCTTTGCTGCACAGCTAGCTTTAAACTTTCTGAAGGCAACAAATATCCTATGATGGAATCCAGTTATTTTACTTATAAGCTAATCTACCCAGGTATGTGTATGGTAACAAAGCTTTTAAAGTACCAAATACAGTACTTGGATTTTCTTCCCACTGAAATCTGTTTAAAGAAACATAATTCTATTGATTTTTGTGACTTCACTCATGTCTACTTAAGTGGGCCATAGAAGAGAATCAGATCCAGAATCTCTTCATCTTTTCATCAGTTAGGTGGGATTTGTTGCTATGCTAGAAACACAACATATATAAACATGATGGCATTTATTTTCCAAACAGAAATATCTGTCTGGAAGATGGCAATGAAAGGGGGCACATTCAAAATTGGGTCTATTACATTTGCACTGCAGCAGCCTCCATTTCTCAGCTTGCAATCCAAAAAAATCTGCAGCTAGGGGCAAGTTCCGGGTGGAATATACAGGACCAGACTTACTGATAATGAGTATGTAATCACTGACAGCTCATTGGTATTTAACGACTCATTCATTTTCACTTTTAGCAAGTATCACATTCCCCAAAATATTTAGCTTGCAAAAGTAAAAAATAAAAATAATAAATACGTACCCCAACCAACAACGCAAAATTTAAGGATATATTTCCGTACATAGGTATTAAAGACCTTCACAAGAGCAAGATACATATGGAAAGCTTCTAGGCCCATCCAAGTGAAGGAAACCAAGAGAAAATAGTGAAGAAATACAGCAACTGCAATGCACAAGCCTCGTGTATCATACAAAGCAATCCAGGAATCAAGGAGGAAAACCAGGTTGAGCAGAAGCAACGCAGCACACAGTTGAATAAGGATTTTGGAGGGGTAGTCTCTTCGGATTTTCCTAAAATGCAAAGTAGTGGGATCACTTCAGATGTCATTACTTTGGGTCGCAGACTTTTTCTTTCTTGTAGTTCTTATTGCACAAATGACAATAGAATATTTCTTCATATATTTTTCATTCCTCTAGAATTCCTCATATATTGCATTTATACAGAGAAGGTGAGTTATAAAAGATACGGTAAAGGTCCATATAACAAGTTTGTGATAATATTTCATTAAATACAAACAACRCAGCACATTTTAATTTACTGAGGTGGTTTTTTTTTCCTCTCACACTCTGTGCTTCTTTCTGTTGAAGTACTGCCAAAAAAMCAAAATGTGAATATTCTTTAATGCTAAACTTGATTAGGCATTCTACTGTGCACCCAACAGCCTTGACAGCAATGAGAAATTCTTTGATGGCAGGATAATGAGAGAGTAAACAGGTGCCAAAAGCAACTTCTAGGAGGATTTATAAACACAGTACGAAGTTTCAAAGCTAAGGCTCAATCAAGTCAAGAAAATGTTCTGAGAATCAAGGGAGTTAGCAGGCCATAATTAAATGTCATTTCACAATGACATATAAATATGTCATCATTATGAACYGCAATGTGTTGGCTGTATCTTAAACTCATTCTTCCACACTTTTGTTWGCACAGTATGTTGTAAACCACTTAGAAGCACCATTTCTTCCCTTGTCACTGCATAGAAGCCCATGATTCCTTCACGTGTAGACAAGATTAATAGATGGAATCAACACCTTCTAGTAAAATGAACAAATTTGTGCCTTGTTAATTGAACCAGAAACAGTAATTACTGGAAATGACATTGCAGAGAACACTACAAGCAATCCCAAGCACAGAATAATGGGAGTTTAGTTCAGAAAATACTTACTCGAAGGCTATGTAGGTCACAAGAGTAATAGAAAGAAAAATTGCTGAGAGGCCACAGCCTATATAGGATATAAATGTCAGTACCAATTCTTGTGTGGGATTTAGAGGAGTATTTCCATACAAGTTCTGAAAGAGAAATAGAAGTTAATTTCAGAGAGCATGCTTGTTAAAGGGAAAAAAAATCCCCACCAAAATGCACCTTTCCCTCTGCAATAAAAAAAAACATTTCCATCACAGATCTTGATGATCTGTGATGTAAAAGGCGAATTAAAAAAATTAGAAAAAAATCTGTGAAATGATATTTGATTAAAATATTGTTTAAAAAGTGATTTATCCTAATTTTTCTTCCTACAGAATAAAGGCCACCTCAATAAAAAGCTGTGGTTTAGTAAAACACCTACTGTGTTTTACTAAATGTGTTTTAACGGCACTCACGACTTTAATGGAACTCATGCCCCAGCTCAACAAGYTGGTTAAGAAAATGACTGATTTTATGCATGCACATACTAACACTGAAGTGAATGGAGCTGGTCAGCTATTTCATAGTTGATACATTCTTGCTGAATTCTCATCTCTTTAAAATAACACATRCTTAAATCTTTTCTTTAATCAGGGCAAGCTTGCACATTTTTTTAAAATAATTACCATCAAAACAGCAAAACTTGTGAGGTGGTTGCACGAACAGACTGTTTCATTTGCTCTGCTTTCTTTAACTACGCAGCCCTCATATGACCAGCCTCCATGTCCACCTGTTACAGAAAAGTTTTRTTATTGACAAGAGGATTTCTTTCTGCTAACACAATTTAATATACCTAAAATAGGATGATATTTGGAGTGATATATCAAGTACCTACCATTTCTATTAAAGTCCCAAAAAACACATCTAACTGATGAATTATCCTGTTTGAGAGGTAAAGAAAAAAAAAGATGTTTTACTCAACTACAAGTTTATCACCAAGCAATTTATTCATAGTGTACAAAACAGAGATAAAAAATAAATACTGGTTTACATGAATGTAAAGTAAATCTAGATGCATAAATGGATTAATATTTCAGTATGCATGCAAAACCAGATAGAACAAATTTGAAGTGATTACACAGGAGATAGGTCCCGTGCCTATGCTGAGTATATTTTGTTCCTGTCCACATCAGTACAGCAGCACTAACAAAACAACCTGCATTCTTAGCATGATATTTCTTTTTATCTCCAAATGAGGCAAAAGTCCACCAAAACAAAAATCATACCTGGTTGGGTTTGATATTCTGTAAAGTGACAGTAACATTTGCCTTCAAGTTGCTAAGTGAGAGGTTAGCAACACTTGATGATATAACATTGCTGATTAAAGATGCATTCTTTAGGGAAGGATCCTGGAACAACAAATACATAACCAGATTTAAAAATATTAAAGGAAACAGCAGTGAAATACAGCACACACAAGTTCAATTATATGGTGTGAGAACTTGATAAAAAACAGCATATTTTTAATGGGCCATTTTGAAATGTATTTTGGGGAAAAAATATCCAATTATATTTTATTTTGTTCTTCTCTGGAGTTTAAAACCATTATGAATAGATTGCCAGAATAATACCTGGAACACAGTGGTCTTTTTAAAAAAGTTGAATATAACTCTAGAAGCCAAGTCCAACTCTTCAGGAGGTAAATTTGTCAGCAATGACGAAGGAAGTGTAATAGCTCCAAGATTGTTTAAGTCATAAAGTGCTTCAGTACCTAAAGAGATCTGTAAAATAAGTACAAAGATTATGATTTATTTCTGTCACTAAACCAAAATGAAACTATGCCTTATWTTCAGCTCAGAACTTTGAAATATGTATTTGTGCCACCCCAGTCACTGCTAGGAACATTCAGTTGAGCTCTCATTCCTCTCTTGCTCAAAGGATTAAAAGCATCTGCAGGCTTGAAAACGATGCAGTTTATTTCAAGTCTGCCCATCTTTATCCATTTGCTTACTGGGACAGAAATCTTGGGGATAATATTGATTTGAAAAAGGTGAAGAGCAACAACCTACACAGGTCTCTCTAATCACTGAGGGAGATGAGCTTTTCAAAGTACAGCAGGGTGYAAAAAACTTCTAATACCTAGGTGAAAAAAGTAGGTCATCTGTAGAYGACCAAGAAAAGGAGGCTTTCACATTCATCGTATCTATCTGCATTTACATTCCCTAAAGGTTTTTAATGAAGTGGCTACTCTCAATCATATTTGAAAATACAAGAGAGACTACAAAGATTTTGAAGTTCTACTGACCAAAGAGAAAAGAGACGCCCTACCTATGCCTTCATACTTGTTTTTTCTGCAACAGCTGCTCAACCTGTTACCCCACGGAGAGCTCCAAAATGGCCCTGCGATGCCTTTTGTCCAAGGACATGCGAGAGAAAGGTTATAGGGAAGGACTGAGAGTACTCCTAAGGAAAGGGACATAGGGGACATGAAGGTAACCTGTCCCTGGGTGGCTGTGAGAACACCCATGCTGGTTGACAGGACAAATGTGTATGACAAACGAGAGGGTGGCAAACACAGTGTGAGGCCACAGGAACCAGCGGAGAACTGAAGGCCTTGGAGTGCCAGAGGCAGGATTATTGTGCCAATGTAGGAATGAAGGAGATATCCATAGGTTTGCAGGGTCCATTAATGTCCCTGCTCATAAAGAATTATTTGTAATTAATTAATTAATAAAGTTTTAGCCTTTTTCAAATGAATTGAGAAAAGGTAAATAGCTATTATTTGTCAGGATGCCTTGAGTACGGTATGCTATGCAGAATCTAAGACAATCAGCTCTRATTTTAAGATCATCTGGTAAAAAAAGACAGAAATAAAACTAAGCAAGCTGCTGCTGCAGTATTTTACATGCATATGAACAAATAAATGCACAAAAAATGCTGCTTTTTTATAAAACAAATCTGAACCTTTACCCGTCTTTTGTGCTGTACTACATGGAACTTTGCTTAGCACAAAATCTCTAGCTTTTTCTTGTAAAGCCTGGGTAGCATATTAGTCATCTTATCTAAACATACCATTATCTCCAAGTTTATGAAAGACGAGAATTGAACAATAGCCGAACCAAAGAGAGGAATGACCTGTATATTCAAAGAATGCTATAATACAGTGAGCTCTCTACAGTATCCTAAAAAATATTTTAAGTCTTCTCTGGCTAAACCGCTTCTAAGTAAGAAGATGGATTCAACTTCCTGTTCTCTTTTGTTTAGGTAGCTACCCAATTAATTCCAAAAAGGCACTCTTGTTGCTTTGAGTTGGACCAGATATGTAGAAAKTTCTCTGCTGTATTTCTTTTCCGTGCCATGACATTTCCCGTAGATCGCTATTYAGCAAACACCTCTTTTCCAGCACTACCACCTCTTAGAGTCACCTCAGACCCATGCATCACATATTACTTGGAACACAAAAAGAACTCAAATGTTAACATTTCACATCATTTTTAATATCATTGAATCATCCTGGTGCCTCTTCTGGCTTGTGCTAGCTTAGACTTTTCTGAGAGAAATGTGAGAAATGTGCCACTATTTGTCCAGAACTTTCCACCTCTCCTGGCGAAAAATCTCCAAGGATGGTGGAAAGCCTCCAATTTATAATTTCGTCAACCAGACAGGAAAAAGGTTTTGAGTTATACAAACTAGGTCCAAACCTTTCTCAGCCCCTTTTTCATAGACAGAACAACAATCTCTGGGTGACAAATAAAAGTATATCATTATCTGAGCAACCTAATAGTCTTTTCCTGGCACCCGCTGCAGTTAATCACCTTCTAACACATGAAGCCATCTGCCAGCATTCCTTGATGCATTTTAGCACTGTCAGGGTGGATGATTAAATGACTCCTATTTTGAGGTTTTTGAGGGAGAATTATTCAGCCAAGCCCTCTATCCCATTCTGGTACTCCGGCTCTAGCCTTTCTAATGGCTTATTAGTCAAATGTCAACTTGTACATCTGTTACTTACTGATGCCACAGCGGAAAATGAAAGGAACATCTCTAGAAGGCTCCAAAAGCAAAGTATTTTTTCTCTTAAAATAACAAAAATAACAGATTCTGAAACTGGAATATAAACACAAACCAAAGCCAACTTGCCTACATAAAATATACAAATATTTAAATTTGGAGGTATTTAGAATTAGAGTTGCTTTACCTGGAGATCAGATGAATCCTGGACAGCAAAGGACATTTGGCTGAAGTGCATGCTGTTGGTTTTGACTACTGCCAGAGCCAAGGAAGGGGAAGAAAAATCAGCAGACTTGGCTGAAAAGTTCAATTTTAGGCCAATATAATCCACAAGTTTTATTATTCTGAAAATAAAAGAGACAGCTAGTCTAGTTACCAAGACCATACACACAAATTCTCAGTCAGGTTGTGGAGCAGCAAGCCAAGACTGAATATAAAGTCTAGCTGACTCTGCTCATTTTATGTGTCTTTGACATGAAAAATTACACTTTTCCATTGAGTTACAGTAGAGCTAGTAACACTAGTACTACTCTAGTACTCCCTGCCTTTCCATATAGCTACAATAAAGCACAAGAGACCTTTTTCTGGATTATGATTATTAAAAATCACCTTCAGCACTGTCACTTTAGCAAGACAGTTAACACAATACACATTTAAACTATTACCAACCTGTTGGAAATTCGGGGTGATAATGGTTGAGAAGCAGTCAAGATTTTGCTAACTTCACCAACCATCCTTTCTACATCTTTTGGCTCTACTTTTCCATCTGCTAAGTCCTTTTCTATTTTGGAAACGATTTGTTCAGCTGTGGTGATATTAACGGTAGTATAAATGGAAGTTGGATATGTGGCAGCTGATAGTATCTTTCCTGTGACAAGAGAAAATTCATGCATTTATTTAGGTGTGTTCAACAAGCAAAGTAATCCTTAAGAATCAGGGAAAGATTAGGAAAAGAGCACAACAACAGTTCTCTTGATCAACAAACCTTACTACAAGTGTAAGGACTCTCTACATGTTACATTAAACAAGATGCCTTCTCGCTGTCAGCTACTCTGCATAGAGAAATACAGAAACATAAACGAAGTTTCAAATAACCTAAATTCATTCCACTCTACTGATTATAATGGTCTTCATATTAGACTCTTGGTGATGTTAAATAATCTATTGTTTTGGATTTTTAGCTAATAAATATCTGGAAATAGAATAAATTCAAGACTAGCTATTTGACAAGCACCCAATGAAAAGCATACAGTCTTCACAAAAAATATACAGCTAAAAATATTCCTCAGCAATTGTATATTTCAAGGAAGTTCTAATACTGATGTGGAATGTTTTAAACATCAGTTTAGTTAAAAAAAAAAAAAAAATGGCTACCTGCTTCTGTGACTACTAATTTTTCCGCCAAATGTACCTGTTTGGAATTTAGCACACTACTTACATATGAAAAATATCGGGTAGAGTAGAGTATCATTCATAATGGCCAAAGGCATCAGAATGTGTTTCAAAAGACAAAAGAATGCCTTCAAAAAGATCATACATCTTGTGAGAGTTATGTCTTCACAGTATTTGGAAGGTGAGGTCTTAGTTCATATACAGTAAGATCCTCTGTTGAATAAGTTCAGTATATGCTATCCAAATATTAGTATATATATTAAAAAAAAAAAAAAAAAAAGAGATTTCCACTTGTCCTATTTACCTGTGTTTCCATGAGGTGGGCTGCCATGGCCAACATTTGTAGAATTAGGACGAGAAGAAGCTGAGGCAGAATGTCTGGCAGGACTAACAGTGGGGATCAAGTATGTTGTGAAAGGAGTAATGGGAAGAATGGGTGCTGCAGTAACACTTTTATTAATGGAGACAGATTTGGTAGAAACCGTAGCAGAAGGAATTTGTGTGACAGATCTGGTGGTACTCTCCGAGGGGGGAATTGCTATGGGAGGTGGGGGCGGCTCAAAAGAGGAACCTGTTGTAGGTTTAATGAAACTAGAAACAACATTTCTAGGATATGTAGCATCAGATTTAATCGAGAGAGCAACATTAGTGCCAGATTTTGAAGCAGGTGTAGACAGAAAAGTTGGCATGTCAGGCTGAGCAAAAGAGGGAAGTCTAGWGATGGCACTGGTGGAAGGCACAGAAGTTACAGTAGTATCTGTGGTAGAAGGATCAGAGAGAGGACTTGTGGTGGGAGATGTGGAAAGAGTTCCAGAAGCATCAATTCCTGTGAATGGAGTGATCAGTGGTTTAACTTGGGAGTCCTGTTTGGTAGAAAGCATAGTGGGGGAAAGAAAAGGATTTCTTTTAGGGGGAAAAGGAGGAAGTGAGAAAGGGGCCCATATAGAATGAGATGGCACTTGTATAGTACTGTAAAAAAAGAAAGCACAGAAAAGCATATTAATCTTTTTATAATTTAAATTTGTTATATTTTAAAGAAAGTTAGAATATAGAAATATATAGSAACATACTGCTACTAATAATTAGTATTTTAAAATCCATCATATCGGATGTTTCATGCTTTATTAACAAATATTAATTTTGTCACATTTTCAAAGCATTGACTTTATGGTTTGGTACAGCTGTTAACTAGAAACGGCGTAAATAATTCTACTGGCTTCATTGTCTACTCTGTACGAGATGCAGTTTATAAAAGTTAACTTCATCAGGGTTAAAAAAAAGAGAGAGAAAGAAAAAGAACACTCTACAGGAAAATGTCTGTGAGGTCGCCCTTGTGGAGAGACTATTATGCTAGAAAATGGAAATTCATTATTACTGCATTATAAAATTCAGTAGTCAGGGAAGACAGGCCTTTTGTATTTATACTCACTACTTTTGTAATTCTTCAGCAGACAAAGAACAGTACTTTGGTGATGAACAGCAGCACTCATCTGAGATGACAAAGCAACATTAACTTAGTTTGTCCCAAAGCAAAAAAAAATCCTAGTATTACTAGCAATAGTGCTTTTAGCAGTAGTAGTACAATAGTAGGAGGAGGAGGCCAGCCACTTTTCAGTGGTGGCCAGCGATAGGACAAGAGGGAATGGCCACAAACTGAAGCACCAGAAGTTCCACGGGAACTTAAGGAAAAAATTCTTTCCTGTGAGGGTGCCAGAGCCCTGGCACAGGCTGCCCAGGGAGGYTGTGGAGTCTCCTTCTCTGGAGATCTTCCCAACCCACTTGGACGCAGCCCTGTGCCCCGTGCTCTGGGTGCCCCTGTATGTGCAGGGGGGCTGGACTGGATGATCTCTAAAGGTCCCTTCCAACTACAACCATTTTGTGGTACTGTGAATAGCATCCAGATAGCACATGTTTGAAAACAACAGTGCATTCTGCATAATTGCTTCTGAGTTTTATCTGAAAAAACACTTGCAAAAGAGATTTTGCAATTTTATCACTACTCCTCACTATATTAATATTACTGTGAAAATTCTGCAATTTTTGAACTTGATTAATCAAGATCACCATTTCAGTAATGCATATATGTTGGTAAACAATATTATTGCTAGTCCTTTTAAAATCTACTTTAGTAAAGTATTCAGCAATTTTATACCAAAGCTTTTTAATACACATTTCCAAACTTCCTCTTCTCTCCCCAAATCCAAACTGCTGCATTTTCACTGTGTATATGAACTTATAAAAATTAGTTTTTATTTAAAAATAAGTAAGAGTCTTTTCTTTTAACTTCTAGGAGGTAACCTGAAGAACTATAAGATTTAATCTAAACAGAAGCTGCGATGAGATTGTATTTAAAGCAAAACTTACCAATCTGACTTATTTCTTTTTTGTCTTTTAAACTGGTTATATTCTCTTTCTTAGTCAGCTTTATTATGAAACTGCAATGTACACTACAATGAGAAGAAAAAGTGTTAGTCTCAAGAAGCATACCTGCCTTGCATTTGCAACGCACAGAATCAACGTCAAATGCTAAATCAGAGAACACAATTTTCAAGGCATTTTCAGTTTTTGAATTACTTTTAAAGCAAGTAAAACACTATGTCAGGCTATAAAGCAGAAGAGTATACGTTAAAGAATATGTCAGTTTGTGGTACCTTGCTTTTTTTTTTTCTCTCTACAAACAYTGCTGCTTCTTAAATGGGATCCCAGCTCATTAACATTAGTCATTTACTCGTGTACTCAGGTAGGCATAATACTACACTTTTTATAATTATGGACAGATTATAAGAAATCCTCCCTAGCTAAATTAGCAAATTTACAGTCAGAATTCTTCACATTCATCCAAGTCAAACACACAAGTGTATAAAAGGCAACACAAACAATACGAAGTGAAATTTCTTTCCAGCTAACAAGAATGAAGAGCTCTGCCAGCACATGATATGGAGATGTGAACTGAATTTCTGCCCATTGCTATTGGAGTGTTTGGGACTTTTTTTTCATCTTACACTGGGAAAATAAACTCCATAATTTAAATATGTGGGTAAATGAAGTTCCAGATATTGAATTTATAATATGGAGTTTCCAAGCTGATCAGTTTAAAGGACTTGCAATTTAGTGGTGAGCAGCAATTAAACTRACAGGTGTTGCCTGCATTTCAGTCAACAGCTGCCAAGGTTTCTGGAATCACCTGCTGTAGAGCAGCCTTGCTGAGGATGGCTGGTTTTCAAAGCCGAAAAACAGCAACCCAAAACGTTTGAAATATTTTGCTAATAAAGATTGTCTTGGATTTATAAGCTCGGGAAGTTCAGTGGTCCCAGATCTCACAGCAGCTTTTCAGGCTATTGTCCAAATTGCTGTATGAGTCAGTTAATATGAAGAAATCTGGCACACAAGCCTGTGTTGCACCAGAAGATTAATGAAAAGCGATATAATTTCATTAAAAAAAATCCTAGGAGATTAAGAGGATCAGAATTTGACAGCCTGCATATATTTCTCAAGATAGTTTCTCAACCTTAACTACCTAGATGTTTTTTTTTTCCTGCTACAGAACTCATATTTCAAGCATTCATGCTTGAAATAGTCAYGATAAAATATATGAGCTTTCTATTATATTAACATTTTGAAAGTTAACCACAAACCTCTGGTTTTCTGTTCTGCATTCCATAACAGAGGACTGTAAAGACAAGTGAAAGAAGAATAAAATTATTCTGTCAGGAGAGAACRGGAATGATATTTATGACATTATGATATTATAAGACGTAAGTTAAAAAGAAAGTTTTCCAAGTAGTAAAAACAATGAATAAACCTACCTCACTCATTTCTTGCAAGGTTTTGTTGAACTCTGAAATTCTTTAAAATAAAAAGTTACYATTATGGAGGACTTGTACTTATGTTTAAAAAGAAAAGAATAAGCAATTACCAAGAAGAAAACATTTTTCCTATTGATCAGTAAATAGTTAACAATGAGTTTTTAAAATCATGCCAGTTTTAATATTGTAAAAAYATTTTTCAAAGGATCAAATAGTAATAAATCATCTTTTTGACTTTATTAGCTACTTCACAAAGTAAGTTTAAACCTCTGTCATTCCACATAAATATCACAAGATCAACCCCAGTCTTTAAGGCTAATTTAGAAGAGCAAGAGACAAATCTACATATTGTATTTTGGCATGGAAATTTTGGAATTTCCTTTTGGAATGGAAACTAATGTCAGAGTCAAAGCTACAGAAAAAGATTGACCAAGAAATATGAACTTTTTTTTTTTTTTTTTTTTTTTCCCCCCCGGGGAGATTTTGAGAATAGCGGTAAATATACAATCAGTTAAACTACCCTGAAGGGTGGTACAAGTATTAGAAATACTAGGATAAGAAAGATAAGTAGAACCATAACTGGGAAAAACCCCTACAAAGAAAAACCGTTGGTGGGTCTGGGAGTATCTTAGAAAGGCCATGAAAGGAGATACTACACTAAAATAAAAATATAGATAGGACTCCATGAATATGTATAAAAAAATAGCTATGAAACTTTTAATATTAGTTCCATAAAAGACTGGCCAAATCCCGTACACTGTTTTTTAACAACAAAATCCACTGATTCATAAACCAAAAATGAGACTATTCTAATCAGCGTGAACTTCACCTTCAAGAAATYTCACAATTCTTGAAATTTTTAATTTATACAGTGCAGAATAACCTCACAGAAGTGTGCAACCTCATAAACGGACTTATTTAATCTTTTCCAAATATCATAAAGGTTTCAATCCTTATTCAAAATTACTCACTTCATTTCTTGTTGGGTAGGTTTCACAATGGGAATTAATTTTGCAATGTGATCGCTGGTGGTTATGTTATTWATCTGTTAGAAACAAAGATTCCGCTGATAAATCAAACAGTAATTCTTAACATCAAAAGAACCCTATCACACAGTCTGCAAGTCTGAAATTCTGAAGGAAAGMAGCACACTTTTTTTCGAAAAACACTTCAAAAAATATTTATCATGACATCATCACAGCTTATTAAAGCAATTGGCTCATTTGGGGTACACCAAGTAATAGCTTCTGATCCATTATCATCCAGAGGATAGTAATTTTACCATATTTCATATTAGGAAAAGATGAAAGTAAGTTAGTTTGCAACAAAGAGAACTTAAAACAACCTTCCCAGCTGTAATGATACTGCAGCATGGGAACAAGCTATGTAACAGTCTCAGGAAATACATGGAATGCAATTTTACCACCACCGAAACACAATACAAATGTGGAAAAAGCTCTTATGTTGGGGAGAGTGGGGCCCAACCGCATTTAATTTTTTAAAATGTAAGCTAAAACATTTGTTCTTTCATCTTAATTGTGGTGTGCAGTGAGTGAAACAATGGACAAACTTATTACAACATGTAAAGTTTCTCCAGTATTTTTTTAACCAATGCTTAAACATGTAATAGAGCTCAAGGTGCACCAGTGCAGGAGCTCTCGGGGATCCTGCAGTAGCAAACTGGAGAGAGAGAGAGAAAAAAAAAAAAAAAAAAAAAAGGACATTAACTTGTACTTTGTACTATCCTCTGGCTTGCAGAGTTGGCCTGGGAAACCCCAGAATGAATGCCAAAAGGCACATGTAGGAAAAGGCAAGAGGTCCTCTGCATGTTAATGTCACATTCTCAGTTTTCCAACGTGTAAAAACTAAACATTCCTATCCTGAATCACCTAAATACTGTACAGTCTACGCTATCCTTGCTTTGCATGATATTGTCCCCTTAAAACTCTTCTGTGTTATGTGAACACACATGCACTTTCATACTACGTACAGTCAGTAAAAATCTGACAACTGATTAGCTATTAGCTAACAAGTATTAGGACTGCCACTGCTTAGAATGATGCCCTGTTTATGAGAGTCTCAACATGAATTATTCCCAAGATACAATCTAACTTAACCTGTGTGCAACCTGTAGSTCTAAAATGCTTAAATCTCTCTCCCAAAGATAATCCTCTATGTCTAAATTTAGATTCCTAATTAGGTGATAGAGGCTTCTGTCTGTAGGATTTCCAGGGTGTTTTCCCTGTTTCCAGTGGTTACATGGAAAATGCAAGTAGTGTAGGAAGACTATTTATTTAAACCTTTAAAATTTAGCCACAAAACAGCTGTTTAAGACAGAGAGAGCAGACCCATCCATAGTAAATATTAATACTTGTATTGCAAACTGTATTTGAAATAAAATAAGAACATAATAAGAATCATGTTAAGATATCAATATTTTAAGTGTAGACAAAGGATATTTCAGCCTTCCTTACAACTAAGTTTTAAAAGAGAAAATACTTACTATTTCTACATTTACTGACGTGTTACTTCTTTCTTCACTTGCCTGAAGTTTTGCCTGGCCCACATAAAAGACTGAAACCAAAAGCCAAAGAAAAACAAAACTCGTGCTTAATAACATGATGTGAAAKTATTGGAGAATTCAAGATTTTGTTCTATTGTATTACAAGAGAAGAGAAATAAAAACACTGAAATTAACTTTTCTGATCATTCACTATTTTCCAACCATTTCCTACTTCTTTACTTACACTTTTCCACAACGAAACTACTCTAATAGCTTCATTTTTTTCAGTTTTGCTAACCACCTCTGAATTTCATCTGTTATTTTTTTTTTTTCCCAAAATGGAAAACCCTCATTGTGTGTGCCATTAACGTAACTTCAACTTCTGTAATGAGAATAAAATGTTCATTAAAGGCAAAGTGATACTCTGGATATTATTCAATCTCCTTTCGGATTAATTCACTTTCAGGAATCAATCAACAGCCTTTTAGAACCTATCAGACTCTTTGGTGTACATAAAGGAATATCTGGCAGTTTTCTTCTTGCAGCTAAACATTGAGTGTCAGCTTTAGAGAAGGATCCATGGAGGAATGTATCATCATATCACCCAGGACACCTGGCACAGTTTATTGTGTTATCCATTAGGGAAACTTTACACTGGGAAGCAAATACTTATTCTGTCTCTTTGTAATCTATAACGTATAGATTACTCGTATACAGCTATCTGTCAGAAAATACTTCATTTTCTAAAGAACTTCTCACAGGAATCCTTTATCTGAGTATTTTGAAAGTTTGCCATGTAAAGCAACAAAATCTYTATCTATATTTTTATTACCACATATATAGGGAACATCACTGCCCTTTTCATTTCCCTTTTTCTGACTTGTCACATTATACTATTAAAGTACATGACATGCACGTTTTTACAACAATTATCTCAAACTTCTATTCCTGACACTAGATTAGCCTTAATATGCCAGAGACTAACAGCATACTGGCTTCTTTTTCTTCTCATCTTAATAATTCTAAGTTGTGTATCCTCTGTTAAGAAATACTGATCAAGAACAGAGTAGACTGAACATTACTTATATAAAACTTGTTAAATTATTTTTTAAGAAATTACATAAAAATTTGAGTTATCAAGAAAAGTTACTACAGAACTAAATTTTATATAGCAAATTTTCTCTGCATTATTCAGCAGAGAAAATAGTTGGACATAACTTTTACAAGAAGAAAGAAAAAACATTAACCTGAAAAATTGCAGGAAGTTGATATGTTGCATAAAATGGTTTCTCCTGGCATTGTTTCTGGAAAAAAAAAAATTTGCTGCATAAAAACACTGAATTTAAAGTTAGTCCTAACAGACACATTTGCAACCATTTCAGGRTTTAGAATTTAAAGGTCTTTATCTTATTATAAATGATTTGCATACTACCTAGGCTTCACTTCTCTAGAACCCTTCCCATTATTGAAGAGCTAGTATTCCCACTTACCTACTGCTGCCAGTGCTCTACATGTTACACACTCTGCTAATAGTTTTGAGAGAAGACCTACATTCGGGTAGGTCCCTACATTTAAAAATAATCCCACAATTTGATGGATAACAAGTAGCAATTAAACCCATTATAATACAGTTGTATCTCAAACATATTTTAACATATGTAAGTTGTTAACTTATATATARGACACTACTTTGCAGGGGTGAACATAGCCTTTCCAATAGGTATGTGGTACACACTTTTTCAAATCTATAGCAACAACTAATTCAAATGAACAGAAGTGAGATAGTCAGCTCTGGGACWCCCACTGCAACTGTCCAGGCACAAAACCTGATGAAAGGAATCTTTGTCTAGACTATCAATAATATATTGACACTATTAAAATAATCAAGTAAATAAACTTTATAATCAAGCTAACACAGAAATCATCGTATCACAAACAGGTTCTATAAGTATTATGATATTCAGTCCTTACGTGATAAATAATCTGTTTCTGAGGATCCTATTATAACTATGACAAGAGTATGAAAACTAAAAACTACCTATTCTGCCTGATGGAATCAAAACCATGGGGCAGAATACAGGTTCTCTCATCTAGCAAACCATGCTTTACTTACAACAAACCTCCTGCTACTGCCATATTTTTAACCCTACCCATACTTTAAAGAAAAATACTGGTCTCAAGTTTAGGGTATCATATCAGAGAGCTCAGCTATATAGAACCAAAGCAAAGAACATGAAAAATATTTACATATGAGACAAAACTCCCGCACTTTCTCATAAAAACTAATGTGGCAGCAGCATACATTTCCTTACAGCACTTAAGCAAATTCCCCAATAATAATGAGGATCAGGAATACAGTGCAAAATAAACACAAAATTAGACTATCCCCAAACAACAGAAAAAAAGTTCTGTCCTCTCAGCTGGGATCATATTAGGTAGTATCAAATGAAATGGGAAATTTCTAAATTTCTTTTTCTTTGTTTTTTATTTTTWMTATGGTAGAAACATTAGCCTGCTAAGGCCTGATATTCTTCATCTGTTTCGGCAGTGGCAAGCACTTTGAGCAGCTGGCAATACTCAATACAATTGGGGAAAAAAAAAAAGACTTTTTGGAGAGCAGCTTGAATTCAAAAGAACTTGCCTTCCCTTTCATGTTGGTAGTTGTCARTGAAGTAGTAATGAAATTATAACACTGATAGTATTTTAAGAAAAAATCTGTAAAGAAATAAAAGGTTCTTCAATATCTGAATTTTTGAAGTTATTAGCTAGATGAAGAACAATAACATTTATAAAATCCTCCTGTACAGAATAGGAGCATCACCCAAAGAATAAGGTCAATCTTTTATTTACAGATTACTTGTATGTGTGACACCTACTCCTGCCTAGGACTTCTGCATGCCAATGCAATGCACATAATAAATAAGTAGTGTAAAGGATCAAAGCCTCACCAAAAGTAATGAATGATTTCAACCATCAAGAGGATCACCAAGTAACAGAGCCACAAACTTCTTGCAAGTGACATTTCACATAGTCAAATTATACTAGACAGTATGCATGTCCCAAGCCATCTACCACTTACACTAATTCTATGTAAATATATTCTATCTGTCTACTAGGCTCCTCTATGAATAACAAAATATAAACTCAGCCTARTCCTATAGACTGAATCTGTCAAAAACATGATAGATTCAGATTCAGTCTACTTCCATCTATTTAAAAGCATTTAAGATTTTTTTAATTTAGATTTTTTAAGCGTAAAGATTTTTTAAAAGTAAATATGTTTCCTGGGACTGTGTTTCTTAGATCTTTGTGCCCCTTGACACTCTAGTACTCTGACTTGCAAAATACTCCAGCCCTTCTATATGACATACGTAGGTAAACCCTGCAGAAGTAGACTTTCTACCAGACAGGAGCTCAATGCAAAGTATGGCAGACTGCTAATACGGCTAACAATAGTACCATGAAAAGCACAAAAAATATCCTTTCAAAAATGTTTGAGTGCAGACCTCTTGAACTCACAAACACACTTAATCTTTCAAAAACATCAAACCATATCAATAATGACATATAAATCCTACCTGATATTATAGTGGAATAATAATCAGTGGAAATAAGAGTTTCTGTTTAAAAAAAAAAAAAAAGATTTTAAATTTAAGTATATATTTTAATTTAAAAAGTCTATGGATTACAAGTCACACACATAAAAAGAAATTTGCTTATTTACAGTTTAGACTCTGCCTTTCCAGGAGAAGTGCAAACATAAGACCATTTATTTTACAAGGTGAGTAAGATACTTTCTGCATAAGAAAGGAAAAGGCAGCATCCTGGGTGGGTTCATCTTATCAAATCTTCTCATCTCTATGTCATCCAGTTACTCTAGAGTCCTTATTATCCAGTGGAGAAAGAAATGCTTTTAAGATGCGATTCATTTAATTTATTTTAGAGGAGTACTTTAGGATACGATGACTCTCATTCTAAAAATGTCTCTTTCTCTCTACATGAACTATGAAAGATACCAGGATGTCTAACACACAAAGACATAGAGGCATCCATAGTTACAGGGAATGAATAAACTCCAAATGCAAACATCAGGAAAAAAGGTGTAACAGTTTTCCTGACTAGGTCTCTTCTCATCCTATTTGGTCAATAGAACAGAAGCACATATATTATGTATTTTTAAAAAGCAGTGTGAACATTTTAGTTCAGCAAACTATTTCAAATACTGTAAGAATTTTTTTAAAAGCATTTTATTTATGGCTATGCCCTCAAAATATTCTGGGCCTGGAAAAGTTCAGTGTTTTTGATAAAAAAAAGAAAGGTTAACAGCTCGGTGTTTAATGCACTTCAAAACTCTAACAATGCAAACTTAAAATATAGGCTGTAAGCAACCCCATTATAAAAAAGCAAACTTTCATGAATGCAATGCAGATTTTCCTCCAAATCCCATTCACCATATATGAATTCTCACCTGCAGTTTGCGTAGTTTCTTCTGAAGACATATCTGAAGGAGAAAATTAGTAAATATAAAAACAGACATTAGCAAATATAAAATTAACATACTAATTAAATAGTAAAATTAAAAATTAGCAAATATAAAAAATAACAATCTAAACAATCTAAAACTAACTAAATCTAAATATAAGAAATGTTAATAAGATCTTGCCTGTAGGACTAATAGGATAGGTGATAAAAGTAACAATAGAGGATTCTGGAAAAAAAAAAAAAAAAAAAAAAAAAAAAAAANAAAAAAAAAAAGGAGAAAAAATAAAGCAGCAATGGCATTACTATTCTTTATTCCTATGAATTTTTGAGAAGGAAGATTAAGCATGCAACACTTCCAACAGGAACAGAATTGTAATGCTTTAAGTTCTCTTTTGCAAGCACTTTGGTGCTTAGTAAAAACTGTGCAAACTGTTTCAAAAATCTGAATGAGTATCTGGGTACAAACACTGGTAATTGAGCTCTCTCAGGTAAGTTCCTTTTATGGGTTTCATTCTATTGGAAGACACGATGCCTGGCACATGTAATAGTAGTAACTGTGCTCATCTCCAGAGCCTTTTTTTCTGCACATATTCATGATACTCCTGACCAAAGAGTACGTACTGAGCATAGCAAACTGTGCCTCCAAAATCTTTTTGCAGAAGATTTTTGCCAGTGACTTTTTATAAAGGAGACAGAACAGTTTCATAACAGAGTAACGCTAGGCTTTCCAAACTTCTACCATACAAGAATCAGTGTCATCATCTGTACCAATAWCTTAACTATAATAATAAAAAACAACAACAAAATACTAAGGCAATTAAATGGCTTAAATATGAGGAATCAGAGTGAAAACTAAATGCTGTCTTCATCTGTATCACTTTGTCTGGTATAAACAAATATAACTAATGAATGGGCTGCAATTGTAAATGGTCATACATTCTCTGAGAAAGACTTCAAAAAGATGAGTGTGTTGCTATGCCCATATGAGCTTTTTCCAGAGCAGTATACACTAAGAAAGCAAGCAAGGCTCTTTCTGTAGGTATATTTCYTCTATTTTTTCACATTAATTCTAAAACAAAATGCTTTCATAGACGATGTTCATCACTTTYGGTTCACCCTTTTTCATTTCTCTGTCTCTGCAGCGTGCCACACTGCATGAAATAGCATGGGTGTGTGTGCTTTCCACAGTGGGAAGAGCTGGGAAGGGGTTCTTGTCCTGCAGTGATCTCCCTCTGCCATCTCTGCAAACTCCTCACCTCAAGACTCTTGAGGAATCTTAAATAAGCTTGCACTTATTCCATCCCTAACCATCACTATTACAAAATGGCAGTGATCCCATAAGCTATCCTAATCCATTCACCGTAGCAAGAAGAATTTAATTTTCATTTAGAAAACCCATTAAATGTCGGCATTCATTTGTACCATAACTTCTCCTCATRACTTCATATAAAAGCAGAGATTGATCTAATCTGAAATAACGGACTTTGTGGTAATCAGAAAGCCCTGATTTTCTTACCATCAGTGGTTGTTGTATCTATTGTTCCTGAATGTGAAGAGACAGAGAGAGAAAAGGGGGGCACAGATTAGCACATGTAGCTTCAGTTAACAGACATAACCGTCCTCATGAGCCCTTCCTTACACCATCAGAAGTTCACCGGATGCATTGGCCAGAAGAGGGCAACACCTGCTCATCAAAAAAGCACTTTCAGGTTGAATAAAAACAACAAAAAAAAAGGTAGACATATTAATCTCTGCTGAAATAACATTAATATTGTTATGAATTTAAATAGAATTAAGAAAAAAAAAGTATTTATTTTCCACAAACGTGGGACAATTTGCACTCTACAACACTAAGGGAAAAAATGACAGTCCCACTAGCCTGATCCCCATAGGCCAATCATGAGTGTCTTGCTAACGGTGGCAACGGGTGTTAAACATTTATGGCCTGATGATTATAGCTGGGTGTTCCCAGCCAGCTCATGTTCTCAGATCCTGTCACTGCCATTTAAATTTTATTTCATACATGTCCATTCTCTTCCCTATCTAGCAAAAAGTAGCATTATGAAAAATTAATTAATTGCAGATTTTAATCTCTGCTCTTGACTGGAATCAGATAACTGCTTACACAGAAAACACTTGACACTAAATCTTTGGCCTTGTTACAGAAAGCATTTTAATTAATTTAATTTAATTTATTAATTTATTTATTAATTTAATTAATGTTAGAAAATTCGAGGCCTGGTTTACACAGCCATTTTAAAGTTAGTCTTTTAGTTTAGTGGTTTATGACAGTGCCATAGAACAGGAAAATCACACTTATCACAGAAATACAGTATCAAGAGCAACTCACAGCAAATACGAAGCACTACCTAAAAAAATATTCAACGTATTTTAAATTCTCTCCAAAGCCTCAAAAGTCATCCTATGATGTCACTTAAAGTACACTATGCTGTAATCCATTTCCAATTGTAGAAGATCTAGGTCAGAGTAGATTTTCCTTTTGTTAAGCATAGTAAACAAGAAGCTTCTGAAATGTTAATCATTCACGTGATTCCTTATTCAAATAATACTTCGCTTGCCTTAATGAAAACTAACGATAGCCTCCTTTGAAAGGATAAACTTAAATATAATTTCTGCAATGAAAGGGTAATCAAGAGTCATCTAGTGCCCTTACACATATTGTTAGGAAAATTATTGACGTTATTTGGCTCATTAAATATGTCAATAAACCATAAGGATGATATGGAAATTAATGTGGAAATACTGATGTATTCTAAAAAATCTCCCAGAATTAAAAATCAACAGCACAATCTTCTATACAATTTCTAAAATAAATATTAAAAAGACACACACAAAGAATCATAAACTTGTTATCTGTTTTCCCTCAGGCAACACAGGAACAGTTCTGACTAACAGGAAGATTTTCTAGGTGCAAAAGTTCTTTTTTTAAAAAAAAAAAAAAATTATACACATACACGCAGGCACACTTCTTTTAAAAACAACCATTTCAGATGTGTTGCTATTGTAGAAGAGCAACATTTTGTCAAATGACACAAATAACACTGTGTCAAAAGTTTTCATTCTGTGAAATAAATTGGTGGCATTGAACTTCAACTCTTTTATGCTAGAGCTGTAAAGAGTTCTAATTTGTGCAAACAAGGTTGTACTGGACAGGCTAGTATTCCATCTACCTTCAATGTGTGTGGCTAATACTATTGATTTTATTTTAAAAAATCTGTTCTTACCTGCATGCCTGGTAGTTTCTTCTGTACCTGACAAAGCAAGAAAAATAGTAAAAATTAGGCGATAAATGTTAGAACAGAATTTTGTAACAGAAAAATAAACAAATGAAAAGAAACAAGGACACGCTCCTCAAAAAATAAAAAAAGAAAGAAAAAAAAAAAAGAAAAAGTCAAGAAAGATGACAAAAGCAACCCAAAGTAATCAAAAAGCAGAAAACAATGAGACTGTTTTTCCTGAGAATTCCTCAGCTTGGCTTTCAATTTAGGTCTTTATAAGCCAGAACCCCATATTAAGAGCCTCAAAAAATAACTATATGGAAACAAGTCCAGAAGCAAGAGATTTCACCTACCTGCAAGGCTATGAACTCCTCCAGTCAATAAAGCCCTCCTTAATCGCTCCTACCTAATTGGGGAGGACTGAAAGTAACYCAAAATTTCCCAATCCGACCCCAGCTTTCTGCTGGGACACCACCAGCTTTCTTTCTAGGTGCTAAAGGAACTGGTGAGAAGCAATTTTCTCTCCCAAGCGGAGCTGAGCATCCCTATCTGATGCTTCCCCTTGCCTCCTTAGGGCTCTTCCCCTCAATCTACTTCAGCTTTACTACATAAGCTGTTACTAACAAAATCACAAGAGAAGATTCCTATTTAGATGAGTAGGTTTTGCGGCACAGTTAGAAAATAAAATTCCCCCAGCCCACTCCTGCTACTCCAGCAGAAGATAAGAATTCCCTGTGGAAAAATAGAAAGGATCCCACGAGCCAAGAGGCATTGTACATTCATTGATCAATACTGTCATGTTGAACATCTAATTCAAGGAATCACAAGGCACAAGAGAGCTGCTTAATCACCATTTAAATCTGAGCTTGACCAAGGCCACAAGATCTATCACATTCATTCACTTCCAGGGCATTACTGTCTGCTCTGTAAGGAGGGAATTCACACAACTGCTCTTCCCTGGCCTAACATCTTTCCCTTAATACAARCATTGGTGGATAACAGACACAGATCCAAACACTAAAGCATTTGACATTATTTCTACTCTCAGTAATAAGCTATTGTTTCCTCTGTCCTGTGTGGATCAATGCTCCAAGTTCATTCACATTATTTTGAAACTCCCATCCATCTTTCTCATATGTGAAAAAATCTAGTGCAACTGCAGAGTCCCTAGATAGTTGATGAAATTATGAAGAAAAAGAAAGGGGGAATAAGGAAAAAAAGAGCCTTGGTATAAAGCATACCCCAGCCCAAAGATTCCCCCAATATAAATATAAAGTCTGTTTCTATCAAGTCTGAATTTGGTCCTGTTCCTGCAGTTTACCCATAACAACCATAACTCTAACCTGAAGTGCTTGCAGACTGCTGTGAAGCTGTATCCGAAAAAAAATTGTAAAAGCCAATGTACAAGCAATGCAGAAACAGAATCTTGTCTGGTGTAGTATTGGCAGAAATAACAAAAGCAACAAATGATTCTCATGCAATAATGAGCAGATACATGGATCAATAAGGAAGCCAACCAGCCCTAACCCCATCATTAAGGGTTTGCTTGTTTTTAAGTATCTGATTCAATTTTCAAATACTATTCAATKGATTGGAGCATAAAAATATGAGACTAAATCATAAGAACGTGACACACAGAGTCATCTGGTTGCCTATGCTAAAGCAGGGAAAAGGAAATCTTCTTGTCGCAGAGGATTTTCTTTTCTTTTTTCTTTTTTTTTTTAATTTGTATTTGATCACGAGATTGGCATGTCTGATTGTGCAGGAGGTTTTGCCAAGATCAATGTAACACCCACTGCAAAGAACTGCACCTCTAGTTATATGCAAATGATTTCAATTAAATAACCTAGTTACTCAACTCCTGCTTCCAAGCTCAGCCCACTTTGGAAATGAGAATCTCTCTGCTAGATACAGGTGATTAAGATTTAGCTGCAGGAAACCAAAGATTTGGTTGCAGGAAACTGTGATGCTGGCACATATCTGACTTGCTATATTGCATATAAAAGCTGTCCTTGACAGAAAAATTACATAAATGCCCACAAAACTGTATCTTTATAAGACACAACTACCAAAAGAAGTGTCAGGCACAAAAATGTAGTATATGTATTATCTTTTTATTTGTATGTATTCTGGTACTAATCAACTTTCATAATTAATGCTGAACCTCTATTTCTAGGTGTATCACTGATGTCCCATCCTTCTTTGACCTTGAAGGGCCCCACAGCACATCAGYTCATAGTTATCCTTGCCAGATACCCAGATTTGTCATTTTTTCATATTCTTTCTTTCCATGACCCATGCAGAAGGTGCCTTGTCCAGGCAGCCAGCAAGGAAAAAAAAGAAAGAAAAATAAAGATTGCCGATTAAGTACCTTGCACCTATGATTCCATTTCTGGGCTTGTTAAAAATTGCAAAGTTCATCTAATCCTACTCCTTTACTAATGGATGTAAAACAATCTGTTATTCCAGAAGRCAGAAAGGAACATACCAGTGCCTATTCCAAATTTAGTGCACCAAACATTTGTCAGCCAGGTGCAGACAGGCATCAGAAAGGAAYTGGCAATAATCTGTCCTGCGTACTCTGCAATTTTCTACCCTTGTTGTAGAAATGTTGTAGAAAYGTAGTGAAACAGTTCTGTACTGATAAAACATGCAAACGCACTTTTAAGGTAGAATAGAACTAATAACTAATGGACCAATCCTATAAAAACTCAGGTGGTCTTGATTCTTAAAAGAAACCTGTAGCTTGAATCATGCAGCATCTCTAAAGGTACCACACTGCTTCTGCCCACCTAAATAATAAAAATAATAAAAATAATAAAAATTAAATAATAAAAATTAAAGTCTACTTTACAAATTTGACCTTAAGCTCTTCCTCAAATCCTCTTGAGGAGACAGTACAGACATAGCCATGGAAGATAAATTGCTTTTCCCATCCTTCGTATCTCTTCAACTTATTTTATGAATTTTGAGCATGCAGATAGTATGCTGGTGTAAGAAAGAAGCGCTGTCCATTAAGATATCTATGTATAGTAACTTYGTCAGTAAGAAAGCAACAAGCTCTAAAAAATGCCACAATCTTTCAGTCACAAATCCAGCAGTGCAGAGAGAAAATAAGTTAAACACAAGCCATGAATTTGAAGTTGGCAAACRCAGCAAATGAGGGTGGAACACATAGCTTGAGAGCAGCATTTTTTCTGGATCACAGATCTAACAGTGACTTCTCTTACATGTCTACTGTGGCTAGAAATTACCCTTACAATAAGGCATTTCAGGGATGAAGGTGCAGGGTTAGGCACACTAACCAAGTCTTTCATCAGTTTCAGTATCAGGCAGCACTATCTATTTCTTCCAAACCAAAGGTACCTCTGTTGAGTCATATGATAAAAAGTCCACCTGCACAAGCTCAAAGGAGCAACAGCAGTTGGAAACCCAAAGTAACATTGTGTCCTTACACTGCCTACTCCTAGACTCATCACAGGAGGGCAACCAGCCCATCAAGGGCTCATTTCTGCAAGCACAGGAGGGTGCAGAGGCTCAACAGAGGGTGGGGGAACCCAAATTACTTACTCAGAGCAATGACACCCTGTTCGGGCAACTCCAGGGTTTTTGCAGGAATCATCAGCCCCATGGGCCAGAAGTGAAATCCACCAAGGTGAGTAAACAGGGGGAAAGCTCCAGAGTACTGCTTAGACTGAGCAACATTTATGCCTAAGGGTATGGGACACATTCTGGTATGCAGAGGAGTATTTTGGAATTACACAAGACTTACTAGGGGATGAGGATACTTAGAGGAACAAATATAGAAAAGGGAGAGACCTAAGCGATTTGAGCRGGAACAAATATGCATAAAATACAGCCATGTCTCGTGTCTGATTATCACAACCTGTCCTARCTTCTTACTAAAATGCTTTATAACTATTTTCCTTGGCAAGCAAATTGTGTGTGCATGCACAGAGATCCAAGTGCCAGTAAGTGTAGTGAAATCACAGGCCACAGGGGCCTCCCTAGCAGTGGGGCCAACAACTGGAGAATGTGGGGATTTAAATGTCAGCACCTGGAGCAGCACGACTGGAGTGGGACCCCAGGCCAGAAGCCCATCTGTCTGTTGTGCCAGCAACTGGCACAAGTGAAAGTAGGCGAGTGCAGGTGCAATCACCAGCCCCCATCAAACCCCACTGGCCAAGGAATATGGGAATTGAAGCTTTCAGCAGTGAGATCATGGGGCAGTGGCTACTGGGRGGCATGTGAGAACCCTAACCCCCTGACAGGGAGACAGCAGGGTCCAGGCAGCACAACAAGGAGGCCCACATTTGTGTTCCGCGTGAGCATGCACATGTGTCTACATGTGCACGTCTCCCTCACATGACAGAGGGGAACTGGCTACTGGAGGGACAAGAGGAGTCCTGGCTGACTGTCAGAGACACAACAGGGTCTAGGAATCAACCACGTGCACCTATGTGCATACATTTGTGTGTGTGTGTGTGTATGTGTGTAGAGGACTGTACCAGCACCTGGAGAGGAGCTGCAGGCTGCAAGGGTTCRTAGGTCAAGCTACTAGCAACCTTGGAGACCAGGGATCCTTAAATAAGGTAATAAATAAACACCACTAACCTTCCTCCTGATCAGCCAGAGAGGGGGAGAGTGTCAGCGCACTCCACATGAACATCAGGTGTGTCTGACTGTACCAATGTGTGTGGCTAGCCGTGTGTGTGTGTATATATATATATGTGCATATKCATGTCTGTGTGTATRTGTGTGTTAAATATGCACRTACCGGGAATACACCTTCAGCCTTGCTGCTGGCTGGACCTGGGGACATGAAGCTGTGGCAGCCTGGCCCCATCAGGCTCCTGGTTCAACCACCTCACCTAACATCCTCAGTCACACCAGCCCTCACAAACACATGGTGGGCAGAATCCGAGTGAAGAAACCCAGGGGAGGTTTCAGTGGTTACATAAGTAACATAGTCTCCATCCTTTCCCAACATCACAAAACAGCATTAAACAACCCAAACCATATGAGAAGATCAG